CGTTAAGAACATTGCAACTATACTTGAGAACAGGTAACCACCTCCTTTTCCCTCATATTAATTTAAACGTTTCCTGACAATATGCATTTCACTTATTGTATTGACATTGCTGATCCAGAAGCATAAACTGATATTGCAAGAGCTTGATCAATGTTCTACTGATTTTAAGGTGTCATTTTATCTATAAATGAAGGAATTGTGTATTTTTGTGAGGCAGTGGTTTGTAATACTTTCTTCCTTGCGACTGGGTTCAGTGCATGAAACACTGCGAATCCTGTGCGTTCCCGCACCGTATTGCAATCACATGGCGTTCATGCGACCTGGTGTGTCAATGTTAAATTAATGACACCCCCGAAACAGATTGCAAAATGCAATGCGATTGCCAGAAATCATAAAGCATGGGTGAGAACACCCATGCGATGCAAATTCAGGTGTGAGTAAAAAAATAGGTCCTGCACAATTTTTATATCGTTAGGGCACATCTGGCATGCAAGAATATGTTTTGTCATCCTTGTAGCATTTGGAAAAGAATATTTCTTTTCACATTATTTGCAAATTGCAACTTTGCTCTCAGCAGAAATTGCACTGTGGAAATGTTCCCAAACTCTAGATATTGGACTCACCATTTTGCAGTGAGGGGGGAAAAGAAAAAATTATTTACTGACCACTTACAAACTGACCTTACTGCACTGTTTAATTGGGTACCTATGTAGAAAATGAGGTTTAATGTTGACACATGTAAAGTTATGCTAAGAATATGCATGCATCATACATACTAGGGGAGGTACAACTGGCAGAATCAATGGTGGAGAAGGGTCTGGGAGTTCTGGTAGATCACAAGCCTAATAATGGCATGCAATGCCAAGCTGCAGTTTCTAAAGCAATCAGCATCCTCTCTTGTATTAAGTGAAGTATAGACTCCAGAAAGAGAGATATCCTTTCACCCCTGTACAAATGATTAGTAATACCTCATCTGGAATATGCAGTTCAGTTTTGGGCACCAATTCACAAAAAGGATATCGGGGAACTGGAGAAAGTACAGAGAAGGGCAACCAAACTGATACGAGGCATGGAGGAGCTCAGCTATGAGGAAAGATTAGAGGAACTGAATTTATTCTCTCTTGAGAAGAGGAGATTAAGGGGGGATATGGTCAACATGTATAAATACATCAGTGGTTCATTTAGTGAACTCGGTGTAGAGCTATTCACCCTGAGGTCATCACAGAGGACAAGGGGGCACTCTTTACGTCCGGATGAAAAGAGATTTAATCTTAAAATATGGAAAGGTTTCTTCATAATAAGAGCTGTGAAAATGTGGAATAGACTCCCTCATGAGTTGGTTCTGGCCAGTTCAGTAGATTGCTTTTAAAAAGGCCTGGATTCTTTCCTAAATGCACATAATGTAACAGGATATTAATATTTATAGGTAGAGTTTATCCAAGGAATATCCGATTGCCTCTTCGGAGATCAGGAAGGAATTTTTTCCCGTGCAGGAGCAAATTGGATCAAGCTTTGCTGGGTTTTTTGCCTTCTTCTGGATTAACTGTGGGTATAGGATTGGGTATATGGGATTGTGTAATTTCTTTTATTGGTTGAACTAGATTGACTTTTTTGGACCGGACTAACTATAACTATGACCAGGCTATAGGTAAACATTATGCTGTGATGGTGAACAACATTAACCACTTGCCCTCCTGAGGATTTACCCCCCTTCCTGACCAGGCCATTTTTTGCGTTGCAGCGCTGCGTTACTTTAACTGACAATTGCGCAGTGAAACAACGCTGCACCCAAATTAAATTTGCGTCCTTTTTTCTCATGAATTGAGCTTACTGTAGGTGGTATTTGATTGCTTGTGCGGTTTTTTTGCGCTATATAGAAAAAAAACACCGACAATTTTGAGAAAAAAAGAGAGTAAAGCTGTTGATGTAGACTTTTTGCTATTAAACATGTCCAGCAAAAAAATTTTAAAAATCAAATTTCATCATAAATTTAGGCCAAAAATATATTCTGCTACGTCTCTGCTAAAAAAAAAATCCCATTATGTGTAAATTAATTGGTTTACGTGACAGCTATAGTGTTTACAAATGGTGGTATAGATACTGGAATTTTTTTTTTAATTTTTACTGGTAATGGAGGCGATCAGCGACTTATAGCGGGACTGCGGCGTGCATTCTGACAATGGAGGAAACTGAGAGCCATGCTGCATGCATCCATAGATAAACGCAAATCGCCTCATTCCTGACCCAATGCCCCCTCACCCTTGCTCCTTCCTTACAGCATTTGATTGAGCGCAGTAGGAGTCAATGGCTGCTGCTGCTTTCTTTGTGTCCTGTGAGAGCAGGGAGAGGAGAGAGCGCTGCTGCAGTTGCGCACAGTGCTGGATGGAGAAAGTATTGATGAAGGTGGGGGGTGGGGGAATACAATACTGGGACATTTTTCATTTAATGCAGGGAATGAATTCAGGTAAAAAAATGTCTTGATATTAGAACCACTTTAACTAGTAAATGACACCCGGGAGACAATTTAGGAATATTGTAGATCTAGCCAAGGGCTCCTACAGTGATTTTGCCACCACAGCTATTTTAGCTTGCTCAGAAGGCCAACAATGAGCAGAATCTAAACACAATATTTAGCAGTTTGTGCAATACATAAAGGACAGAGTATAGTTTATTTTACTGTGCAAAACGCAAATAAGTTAGTGGAGTTTATAAATCAGCAGACAGCAATTGTTCCTGAAAATAATAACAACACTATTTATGAGCTGTCAACACCTAGCAGCCTATTAATCACTTAAATTGGTTGACTCTACATGATAAATGTGCTAACCATTTGTTTCTTCTTAGCAGACAATATTATAAATCATACATTGTAAAATACTGCAAAATTATATATACAAATCACAACATGTATATTAAAACATATTCTATATTTTCTGTCAGGATAGCATAGAACATTTACGCTTTTGTTTTATCCTTTTAGACTTTAATGTGTGAAATAATTATAACGGCCAATTCACATAAATCAATTCAGGACTTAGATGGTTGTGATAGGTTTAGTATTCTATCCTATAAATATTCAATCGAATCAAAATGATTGAAACTTCCTGTTTTTCTTTTTTGCCGAATATTCTGCTACTGTTTCTTTGTATGCATACAGAAGAGCCGTAATCTACTTGATAAGTCCTAACCAGCTACTCACAGCAAATGATGATTGTCAACCATACCAAGCTGCTCCCATCACCACAATTATTCTCAGTACTAAGCAGCTGCTCACAGAAAACAAGTTTAACCACTTGCCCTCCTGAGGATTTCCCCCCCTTCCTCACCAGGCCATTTTTTGCGTTACGGCGCTGCGTTACTTCAACTGACAATTGCACGATCATGCAACGCTGCACCCAAATTAAATTTACGTCCTTTTTTCCCACAAATTGAGCTTTCTTTTGGTGGTATTTGAAGACCGACAATTTTGAGAAAAAAATATATATTTTTGACTTTTCGCTATTGAACATGTCCAGTAAAAAAAATTTTTTAAATCAAATTTCATCATACATGTCTTTGTTAGAAAAAAAATTAATGGTTTACGTGAAAGTTATAGCGTTTACAAATGGCGGTATGTATGCTAGGATTTTTTTTAATTTTTTTATTTTTACTAGTAAGGGCAGCGATCAGCGACTTATAGCGGGAATTCTGACACTGGGGGGAACTGACTTGGTGTCACTGACATCCCCAGTGACACCAATACAGCGATCAGTGCTAAAAAAAAAGCACTGACACTGTACTAATCTCACTTGGCAGGAAGAGGTTAACATGAGGGGCTATCAAAGGGTTAACTGTGTGCTATGTGCTGTTTCACTATGTGCTGTGTTCGTGTGCTTCACTGTAAGCATTCTGCTTTGCACAGCCATCTAAAGCAGTGTGCACGAGCGACAGGTGGGAGAACTGTTTTGTTTACAAACAGTTCTCCTCCCCGTTGGAGATGCTCGGCAATCACTACTGACACCATCTTCTGCCCTACTGACACCAACCTCTGCCCTAGTGACACTGTCCACTGCTCTACTGATTTACATCAACCTCTGCCCTATTGACCCCGTCCACTGCCCTGCTGACTGATACCCTCCACTGCCTACTGACACCGTCCACTGCCCTAATGACTGACACTGTCCATTTTTAAGGTAGGCGAAGTTTGTATTTTTACAGTGACATAGTTACATAGTTAGTCTGGCTAAAAAAAGACAAAAGTCCATCCAGTTCAACGATTAAAAAAAAAAAAGTTATAATCCTATACCCACAGTTGATCCAGAGGAAGGCAAAAAAAACCCCCAGCAAAGCACGATCCAATTTGCTCCTGAATGGAAAAAAATTCCTTGCTGATCCCGAGAGGAAATCAGATATTCCCTGGATCAACTTTACTTATAAATGTTAGTATCCAGTTATATTCTGTGTATCTAAGAAAGAATCCAGGCCTTTTTTAACCACTAGCCTACAGGGCACTTATACCTCCTTCCTGCCCAGGCCAATTTCCAGCTTTCAGTGCTGTTGCACTTTGAATGACAATTGCGCGGTCATGCAACACTGTACCCATATGAAATTTTTATCATTTTTTTGCGACAGATAGAGTTTTATTTTGGTGGTATTTAATCACCTCTGTTTTTTTTTTTTTTTTCTTAAACCAAAAACCACTAAAAATTTTGAAAAAAAAAAAAAAGTTTTTTTTAGTTTTTTGTTATAAAATTTTGTAAATAAGTGATTTTTCTCCTTCACTGATGTGCGCTAATGAGGCTGTAGTGATGGGCACTGATAGACTGCACTGATGGACACTGATAGGTGGCACTAATGGGCACTGATGAGGAGGCACTGGTAGGTGGCACTGATGGGCATTGACAGGCATCACTGATGGGCACTGAAAGGCAGCACTCATATGGCACTGACAGGCGACACTGATAGGCGGCACTGACAGGCGACACTGATAGGCGGCACTGCTAGGCATCACTGATAGGCAGCACTGACTGGCACTGATAGGTGGCACTGACTGGCAGCACTGATAGGTGGCACTGACTGGCACTGATGGGTGACAATGAAAGGCAGTTCAGATGGGCACTAATATGTGGCATTGATGTGGCACTGATGTGGCATTGATGGGCACAGAAATGTGGCACTGATGGGCACTGGCAGGTGGCATGGATGAGCACTTACAGCTGGCACTGATGGACACTGACAGGTGGCACTGCTGGGGCTGCACAGATCATCAGGGCACACTGATCATCAGTGCTCTGATGATCTGTATACATGTCCCCTCCGAGGAATGCCGATTACCGGCTCTCATCTCCTCACGAGCTGTCAGCGTGACAGCTCGTGAGGAGAGAAATGCCGATAACTGGCATTTCCCTGTTTACATGTGATCAGCTGTGATTGGACACAGCTGATCACATGACCGAGCCGACATCTTTGGCTCTTTCCGTTTATCGGTGATCCGCTGTGTCCGAGGGACACAGCGCAACGCCGATCGCCGCGCATGAGCGATCAGAATGGGAGGATATCATATGACGGTCTCCCAGAACGAGAGAACCGCCTTGCGTCCGTCAATTTACTATATGGCGGGAGGTGGTTAAAGCAATCCACTGAGCTAGCCAGAACCAACTCTTGAGGGAGTCTATTCCACATTTTCACAGCTCTCACTGCAAAGAAACTTTCCGTGTTTGGAGATTTACATTTCTTTTCCTCCAAATGTAAAGAGTGCCCCCTTGTCCTCTGTGATGACCTCAGGGTGAATAGCTCTACACTGAGTTCACTATATGAACCACTGATGTATTTATACATGTTGATCATATCTCCCCTTAATCTCCTCTTCTCAAGAGAGAATAAATTCAGTTCCTCTAATCTTTCCTCATAGCTGAGCTCCTCCATGCCTCATATCAGTTTGGTTGCCCTTCTCTGTACTTTCTCAAGTTCCCCAATGTTCTTTTTGTGAATTGGTGCCCAAAATTGAACTGCATATTCCAGATGAGGTCTTACTAATGATTTGTACAGGGGTAATATGATATCTCTCTTTCTGGAGTCTATACCTCTTTTAACCTCCCTGGAGGTATTCCCCAGTGTAACTCGGGGTAAAGCTTCAGCACCACAAGCGGTAACCCCGAGCTACACTCGGGAATACCTTGCAGCGTTGCTCCAGGATCCCTTCTGCACTTACTTTGTCCTTCGCTCCCGCGATGTCCCCCCTGCAGCGTCCCCGGCCATCTCCTCCGGCCGATGCCGGTATCTGTCTTCCGGGTTCCATTCCCTGCGACGTCGGGACGTATGGGGGACGTAACCGGCGGAAAATTTAAAAATGTCAAAAAGTGACATCCACTAAAATCACACAGTATAACATTACTGTATCAAAGCATTTCACATACATTTTGTCCCTAGTGCTTTGTCCTGTGCCCTGCCTGCATTTTTACTGTTCATTCTGCCTGGAAACTGAAAAATGTTGATGGTGTCCAAAAAGCATCCCTTTAGGTCAAAAGCGGTTTTAGACCAGCTAGAGAACAACGATAGTAAATTAGAACCACTTGCAGAATTGAGTGATAATGATTCGTGGGGAAATTCGTCATCAGACAAATTCGTCATCAGACACTGAAAATGATTTTGCGACTTTGCTCAGTGATGTGCGAACCTGGCGCTATATTTAAAATTTCAGTGTTTTTGGTTTGATTACATTATTGAATTAAGTTTATTATTATGTTTTATGATTATTTATTAAATTATAATTTATGATTTTGTGTTTCAAATTTTATCATACCGGGAATGTTTACTAGACTCTTGTTAGGACAGATTTCAGTGAGTTATTCCTAAAAATTACAGGCCTACAATAAAAAACGACATATTTCCATGCAAAAAAATGTACCGCTTTTGAGCACAGAAATACTGACATAATCAGACCGCTAGGGAGGTTAATACAAGAGAGGATTTTGATCGCTTTAGAAACCGCAGTTTGGCATTGAATGCCATTATTAAGCTTTTGATCTACCAGAACCCCCAGATCCTTCTCCACCATTGACATTTGTTTTATTATATGTTTCTACATTTTGTTTGCCATTTAGTTAGGCCTTGCTAGTTTATTGATTTTTTTTAAATGGCACTGAACACTGGTGGTCTTTGATCTCTTTCATGTTGTTCAGGTAGATCTTCACTCCTCAAAGGTTGCCTACCCTGGTCTAATAGATGAGGCTTTAAAAAGGGCTGGTTCTTTGACAGAAGATACTGTAAACGTTCCCCAAAAACCTGGAGGAATATGGAGGTATCAGGTATACCCAAACTCCTAGTTTCATCACTAGATACAATAAAGATCATAAAGAAGTATCCTTTCCAAACACTGGCATATATTGATCCCAGATCTCAGAAAGAACTTCAATCTAACTCAAGACTTCCATAGAGCATCACACTTTGAAAAATTACCTAGCGCCCAGCAGAATAAAAATTCCCAGGGGATCATTACCTTTGTGCCCCAATATTGTCCACAAGCTTTTAAATCTAGGGACCTCCAGAAGGCTCAGTTGTCAATCTTTGGGACCCATGACCACCAATATCACTTCCAACGATACAGGTTTAACATGGCCCTGTTAACAGTTACTCAATTGCTCCTCCCAGTACCTGGTATATATCTTGTCATGTCCATGCAATTTACAATGTGGGAAGAGCAATACAAAACTTCAGACAAAGACAGAGATCGAATATTAGACTTGGATTTGAAGATCATAGTGATTCAAGACACTTTTCGATGCATCATAATAAGCAATATAACCTATTAAAAGCAACCATAATAGAAGATAATAGGAATCGAATCACTACAACAGATACACTAGGTTATGCAAATGAGAAACATTCTGGATCTATAGACTCAACACATTATCTCCTAATGGTTTAAATGAGGCTACTGAAGCATCACAGCATTACCTTTAGTCCCTAGCCTGTTCCTTTCTCATGGTTTCAGATCTCATTTACATAATGCATATCTGATTATTGGAATAACTATCCTCACTCTCATCACTAACCCTATGTGCATGTATATATGTGTACACATTTTTTTTTTCATGTAAGGACGTGCCTTTCTATATGTGCATTTGTGTGGTCGATTGTGCATACATTGGTGTGCATGTATTTGTGTACACATACAGTATTTTTACAGCACACAGCCAATTCCCCCTTTATTTTTCCACTCATATCCACTTTTATCATCATATATATAATTTTCTGATTTTGTTCATCATCTGATTCATGTCATTAATCACTTTGCCTGTAGCTTAATGATATTTAAATGTTTCCATCCATGCATCCACCATTTTGCATTTAGAATATTTTTCCTCTTAACATCAGTGTATATACAGATCACAGTCATTTTCACACCTTCTTCAATCACACATTAGGAAGCATCTTTGAATAATCCTGTTTGTGACCTCACCCGGTTTTCTATTGCACATTTGCAATAGCTCTTTATACACTTCTTAGTTACTTTCAGCTGTATATTAAACATTATCTTTATATATGCTCCCCAGCCCTCAAGTCATTCCACCTCAAACATAACTGGCTTCTTATCTTGATTGCTCATGTAGACACTACTAGCCAGTAACTCTTCTTATTCACCAATTAGCTTCCCTGCACAGGTAGATATAATCCTCTCAATGTACTTGTCTGTGTATATCGTCTGGCCATTACAGCTCTTACATAAATGTCTATGTATTTTCCATTGACACTGATTCACACAGGAAAGCACTATTTTTAGTCCATTCTAATTTTAACTGAAGGTGTGCATAAACCATTTTCATATCTTATTCATATTCCAAATCACTGTTTTGAAAATGTATTTGAGAGTCTAGAAAAAAGGTATCGGCTTTCTTCTCCCTGAGCGTGCAGCATGGTTTTGTCCAGTAAAGTTTCCATGTGCATTTGTTAAAGCCTCTATATTCATCTCTTTGGTATAGCTTCCATATGCATCTCTCTGATTTAACCTCACGGAGGGTGTAGTATATGTAGGAGCAGTATGTATATACACTATGTTGCAAAAAGTATTGGGACTCCTGCCTTTACACGCACATGAACTTTAATGGCATCCTAGTCTTAGTGCGTAAGGTTTAATATTGAGTTGGCCCACCCTTTGCAGCTATAACAGCTTCAACTCTTCTGGGAAGGCTGTCCACAAGATTTAGGAGTGTGTCTATGGGAATGTTTGAAAATTCTTCCAGAAGCGCATTTGTGAGGTCAGGCACTGATGTCAGATGAGAAGGCCTGGCTCGCAGTCTCATCATTCATCCCAAAGGTACTCTATTGGGTTGAGGTCAAGACTCTGTGCAGGCCAGTCACGTACCTCCACCCCAAACTCACTCATCCATGTCTTTATGGAACTTACTTTATGCTTTGGTGTGCAGTCATGTCGGAACAGGAAGGGGCCACACCCACACTGTTCCCACAAAGTTGGAAATTGTCCAAAATGTCTTGTTATGTTGACGTCTTAAAAGTTCCCTTCACTGGAAGTAAGAGAGAAGAATGATTCATCATTCCAGAGAACACGTCTCTACTGCTCTAGACTCCAGTGACGGTGTGCTTTACATCACTGCATCCGACACTTTGCATTTCACTTGGTGATGTAAGGCTTGGATGCAGCTGCTTGGCTATGGAAACCCATTTCATGAAGCTCTCTATGCACTGCTGTTGTGATAATTTGAAAGCCACATGAAGTTTGGAGGTCTTTAGCTATTGACACTGCAGACAGTTGGCAACTTCTGCACACTGTGAGCTTCAGCATGCGCTGACCTTGCTCTGTCATTTTACGTGGCCTAACACTTCATGGCTAAGTTGTTGTTTTTCCCAGTTGCTTCCACTTTGTTATAATACCACTAACAGTTGACTGTGGAATAATATTTAGTAGCAAGGAAATTTCATGGATGGACCTATTGCACAGGTGGCAACCTTTTATGGTACCATGTTTGATTTCACTGAGCTCCTGAGAGTGACCCATTCTTTCACAAATGTTTGTAGAAGCAGTCTGCATGCCTAGGTGATTGATTTTATACACCTGTGGCCATGGAGGTGTTTGGATCACCTTAATCAAATGATTTGGAGGGGTGTCCCAATACTTTTGGAAATATAGTGTATGTGTGTATATACAGTGCCTTGAAAAAGTATTCATACCCCTTGAAGTTTTCCACATTTTGTCAAGTTACAACCAAAAACGTAAATGTATTTTATTGGGATTTTATGTGATACATCAACACAAAGTAGCACATAATTGTGAAGTGAAAAGAAAATGATAAATGGTTTTCAAATTTTTTTTTACAAATATTTGAAAAGTGTGGTGTGCATTTGTATTCAGCCCCCTTTACTCTGATACCCCCAACTAAAATCTAGTGGAAACAATTGCCTTCAGAAGTCACCTAATTAGTAAATAGAGTCCACCTGTATGTCATTTAATCTCAGTATAAATAAAGCTGTTCTGTGAAGCCCTCAGAGGTTTATTAGAATACATTCATGAACAAACAGCATCATGAAGGCCAACGAACACACCTTGGTGTGTTCAGGGATAAAAGTTGTGGATAAGTTTAAAGTAGGGTTAGGTTTTAAAAAAATATCCCAAGCTTTGAACATCTCATGCAGCACTGTTCAATCCATCAGCCAAAAATGGAAAGAGTATGGCACAACTGCAAATCTACCTAGACATGGACATCCACCTAAACTGACAGGCAAGGATAGCATTAATCAGAGAAGCAGCCAAGAGACCCATGGTAACTCTGGAGGAGCTGCAGAGATTCACAGCTCAGGTGGGAGAATCTGTCTACAGGAAAACTATTAGTTGTGCATTCGACAAATCTGGCCTTTATGGAAGAGTGGCAAGAAGAAAGCCATTGTTTAAAGAAAGCCATAAGAAGTTCCATTTGCAGTTTGCGAGAAGGCATGTGGAAGACACCGCAAACATGTGGATGAAGATGCTCTGGTCAGATGAGACCAAAATTGAACTTTTTGGCCTAAAAGCAAAATGCCATGTGTGGTGGAAAACGAATACTGCACATTACCCTGAACACACCATCCACACCTTGAAACGTGGTGGCAGCATCATGTTGTGAGGATGCTATTCTTCAGCAGGGACAGGGTAGCTGGTCAGAGTTGATGAGAAGATGGATGGAGCCAAATACAGGGCAATCTTAGAAGAAAACTTGTTAAGAGTCTGCAAAAGACTTGGAACTGGGGCGCAAGTTCACCTTCCAGAAGGGCAACGACCCTAAACATACAGCCAGAGCTACAATGGAATGGTTTAGATCAAAGCATATTCATGTGTTAGAATGGCCTAGTCACAGTCCAGACCTAAATCCAATTGAGAATATGTGGCAAGACATGAAATTTGCAAACCACAGACACTCTGGGGTTTATTTACTAAAGCTGGAGAGTGCAAAATCAGACTCACTTCTGCATAGAAACCAATCAGCTTCCAGGTTTCATTGCCAAAGCTTCATTGAACAAGCTGAGGTTAAAAGCTGATTGGTTTCTATGCAGAAGGGAGTCTGATTTTGGACTCTCCAGCTTTAGTAAATAAACCCTTCTCCGTCCAATCTGACAGAGCTTGAGCTATTTTGCAAAGAAGAATGGGCAAACATTTCACTCTCTAGATGTGCAAAGCTGGTAGAGACATACCCAAAAAGACTTGCAGCTGTAATTGCAGCAAAAGGTGGTTCTACAAAGTATTGGTTCTACAAAGTATTTTCAGATATTTATTTGTAAACCATTTTGTGAAGTGGAAGGAAAATGATAAATGATTTTCAATCACCTGCCACTTTGTGTTGGTACAAAAAAAAGAGAGAAAGGCCGGGGAGTCCACCAAAGTACAATGTGAAGTGAGGTGCCACCAGATATACCTGGTAGGATGTTGCTTAAAACAATACAAAGTAAAAAGTAAACACACATTTCATCAAAGATCCAGAAACGACTCCCAACCATACAACCCCCCACACACAGGAGGGGACCTCCCAAAGTGAGCACTCCCAAGATAGCACCCAGGGAGGGGGCCCAATACGCCACGGTGCGTGACCACAGCACTCACACCATCCCTCCAGACTGACCCCCTCCCCCAACACCACCCCCCAGCAACTCCCTCCAAACAGCCTCCCAAGATCACCCCAACACTCCCCCCCCAAAACATGACACTGGGGGGGAGGGGGTCGGTCTGGAGGGGTGGTGCGAGTGCTGTGGTCACACACCAGGATGTATTGGGCACCTTCCCTGGGTGCTATCTTGGGAGTGCTCACTATTGGAGGTCCCCTCCTGTGTGGGGGGTTGTATGGTCGGGAGTGGTTTCTGGATCTCCGATGCAATGTGTTTGTACTTTGTATGGTTTATTGACTTACAATAAATTATGTTTTTGAGGGAAGCCTTTTTAGGTGTGTAGCCTACTTTCTTTTTCTTTTGGTTTCACTTTGTGTTGGTCCATAGCATAAAATCACAATAAAATACATTTACGTTTGTGGTTGTGGAAAATTTCAAGGGGTATGAATACTTTTTCGGCACTGTATATGTATATACATATTTTTGTGTTCTTTTTTTAAGTGTAGCATTATAAACTATATCTTTAAAATTTAGATATTTTTTTTTTATATTTTTCATTGATGGTTGATAGATTACAATTTTGTTGTACCATTAAAAATAGTTGTTTTCAATAGTTCTTTTAACCTGTGAGTCCTTTTTTTATATACAAATATATTCAGTCCATGATGTTTTATGAATGTTAGACACATGATTTTATCGGTCACATTTACATATATATTATGTTTTGTTGTAGTCTTAATTAAGGGGGAGTTTCTCTAAACCTCCAAAGCACATTGGCTGCTTTTTTAATACAAACTAATAAATGAATTTGGACTATTTTATCCTTTGGTCTGGCACTCCTTCCATTTGTGCATGTTTTTTCTTGTAACATACTGGGGTACACACTGGAGGGTAGTCTTGCCTGTTGTGAGCAATCTAACCTGAACCAGTGAGCTCTTAATGTTTTTGCCTTCTCGTGACTTTGTATGAGCTCACATCAAAGTCCCAGCACTTCTTGATTTTTTCTTCACTGGACAATATGTTCCCAAGCCCCCCCCACTAGGTACACAATGTTCTCTGGCAACTCTACACATCCCTAGCACATTCTCTGGCAGTTGCCATCTGGCTCCTCCCCACCCCTGCACATTATACTCACTGGCGGCACTAGTTCACACTACATTCTCTGGCAGCCCTCCCCCCACCATCCACAACACATTTCTTAGAAAGTCTCATTTATACTTTTTAGCAGCTCTCCTCCTCACTGCCTGCAATAGTTTATTTTGCAGATCTCCCACCAACATCCACATTCCATTCAAATGACTGAGCCTATTTACACTGCATTCTACCCCTATATCTTTATGATACCATCTATTGCATTCAGCACTACACATTCGCCGATTGTGCTTTGTACAGTACCTCAACCTTGATCAAAGTTACTGCAGTCCCACCCAGTGTTAGAAAGTGTCATGCCTGGTGCAATCAGCAATGCTACATAACATGTTACATATGCATTGTCTCTGTGTTTACCTTTAAATAGTTTTGTCCCTACCTCACCATGATTTTTGACATATCTGATGTTCATCTGTATGAACTTCGCAAGTTTTCTAGTATAAACTTTCTACGATCTGCTGGATGTCATTTGGATCGAGTCACAGTTGCCAAACTAACTGAGACTGTGAGTAAGGCATCTCGTTCACTGGACTAGTAAGGGATCGCATTCAGTGTTGAGATTGGAGAGACAGAATACCAGAATTTCACACAGAAAATTCCAGGAGGAAGAAATAAAAGTTCATACAATACAACCCCTACACCAATCCATGATTACCTCTTTTTCTGCTTTCTCTCTCCAAGTAGAACTATAGGCACATTTTTTTTCATTTTGGGTACAGCAAGGGAGGGTTATAAACCCTGTCAGATTTTTTTTTTCCGCCATCTGTGTCCCATTTCAGAGATTTCCCTTTACATTCTGTCTCACAGCCAAACAGGAAGTGAGAGGAAATCACTGAAAATTAGGGGAATCCTTAAGGGACCCCCCAGTCACCAGAACAGGTGTCCCCATTGGAAGAATTCCCCTCTATTACTTGTCTGGGGATAATCCAAAATTTGGGACTTTTCTTTACTTTCAATGATAATGGTAAACAGGCAATCATTAGGCCTAGGCACTTTTATATGGCCAGCAATGTGGCATTATTGCTCCCCAAGTTACTAGCACAGCCAATTTACTACTGGTTGCAGGATGCAAAGAGCTGTGAGGAAACACAGATAAGGAGAGTAAATGGGAAAAAAACCCTTTTCAGAGACACTGATCCCCTGATGACACCATTACAGTGACACGTGTCAGAGACAAAAACATACTTGTCAATGGTCAAGCAGCCTGCTTTCTCATATGTGGCTGTTTTGTCTAAACATGCACTTCTGGATGTGGACCATCATGGAACACCTCTACCAACTTTGGCCTCAGATTATGATCTTCTAGTTGTGGCTTTCTCATACTGATACACTCAGTCCTTTCGTATCAAGCTGTCTATATCCCATCTGCTGCAAGTTTATTTACAGCAGCAATGAGCTTGTGTCTATCATATGTGAATATCAACCCCTTAGCAACATCTTGAAGTTGGCAGTTTAGACTAAATATTGGATGCATCTCAATTAATGTCATTAAGGAACTACAGGCACATTAGTTGTTCCTAGAATATATTGCATTATACCACAACAGCATGTAATACTACATTTTTTTTGTGAAAAGAAATGTTTGTTGTATTCTTGAATTGCATAGCTACATTGCAGCCTATTATGAGGCATAAGGCATACTTGGACATATGCCATACAGGAACTACAGGCATAATAGCTGTTCCTATAATTATACTGCAGTGCTACATAACAGCATATGATACTATACTATAGCTTTGAAGAAGAGAAATGTTTGTTCTATTCTGGGACTGCAAGTGTGACATTTTGCTGTGATAAAGACACATTCTC